CACACACACACACACAAATAAATAAATAAAATTAATAAAAAAATTTATTACACTTTCAAGGATATTATTTGCAGCTTGGAAATGAGCATGTGGACGATTAATGAGAGAAGGGAGGTTAGCAGCAAGAGATGGGTAACAGCCTCTCATGTGCAGGGTGTTGAAGGCTGAGATTGAAAGATAGATGCAAATACAGATACATGCCTGAAAAACAAATAAAAAAGCAGATACATTCGTGGTGATTTCTTTGACATGTGGGGAAACTGGGAGGGGCCATGTGTGGAGGAGACTGGTGGGGAAGTTGGTGCTGCCTCTATCTAGATGGCTTTGAGACTTTCGTAGCATGAGGTCTTCCTAGAAGATAATGAAAGAAGTTTAAGTGGTGCCTTGTCGGAGGTGATCCCAGACTGAGGCAGGCCATGGGAGCATGATGCAGGGAGTTACATGCAGAGAGGCAGAGTCATAGGAGTCTGGGGAAAGGGCTTAACCTGCCAGCCTAGAGCCCCTCGGACTTGTATTTGCTTCCAGCTTCAAGTTTGGATAGTCAGTCATTTGTGATGATGCCCTCAAAGGATGAGGTGGTGACAAATCTGGAAATTCTGACAAGCAAATGCCTTTTTGGGAAGAACTACTGCCGGCAGATCCTTTGCCTGTATGAACTTGCCAAGGTATGCGGGAGGTCTCCTGGAAGGGGAAGCTGGAGGTGGATTTTGGACAGTGTCATGACAGCCATTCAGGGAGTAATGTCAGCCTCCCAGGTGACCTGGGAGCAGAGCTTTTGGCAAGATAGTGGCCACTGTTTGTCTGTCTGCAGGGAATAGTGGGAAGAACACCGGCCAAGCCCCAGGGAAATACAAGTCCTGGGCACAGTGCAGCCATCCAGTAGACTAGGCAAGGCGCTTTACCTCAGTAGACTCCTTGCTCTCCATTTAAATGACAGTTTGAACATAAAGGTCCTTTCTAGACCTCATGTCTTAGGTTTTCTTCCCAGTTGTATAGAACATTCCACATGGAGTGCAGTGACTGTAAAGACAAGAGCCAGAGCAGACAGGATGTTTGTGACTCTGTGCTGCTTCAAAGAGGAAAGCAGAAGACTGGATATGAAAGAGCCTAATGGGAATAAACCCAAGTGTCAAAACACTTGGACTTAAAGACGACTCCAAGACGTCTATGGGAATTGGAGGGTTTTACTACTGCTGTGGGAACAATGAAGAAGATATTGTTGCATTTTATTCTGCTTTCTTCTGCTGCTTATGTTTGAAACAATCAGTGGTTAGCAAGAGATTGCCACCTGAAGTTTTCTGATAATAAGCCTTTCTTTTGCTTTAATCTGGCTGTGGTGATGAAAGGACTAGGAAATAGTACTTGCTTCTTTAGAGGTTCTTGTTCAGAGGAAAGAATTTTTAAACTCAGAAAACAATGGGGTGCATGCACATCACATTTCCTACAGAACTGGCTTTTAGTTTTTCTTGGCTCCTAAAAATAACTTTGGCTCTCCCTTCCCCCCAGGAGTTGGGCTGTTCCTACACAGAGGTTGCTACCCAGGATGGCAAGGCCCTACTCCACGCAATCCTGGCCTCTCAACAACCTGACCGGTGCAGACGAGCCCAGGCCTTCATCAGTACCCAGGGCCTCCCTCCAGAAACTGTGGCTGAGCTTGTGGCTGAAGAGGTGATGCAGGAGCTGCTGGCCCCATCCGAGGGAACAGGTGCTGTGGCCCAGCAGTCTCAGGTCACCAGCAGCAAGCATTTGGATATTATGCTCAGATGCATTCAGTGTGTTGCCCTCTCACATTTCCAGACCACTTTTGGAACAGAACACACTGCACTTGTTTTGTTGTTGTTTTGTGTTATTTTCTAATCATTCTCAGAGTAGCTCCGCCCTCTCCAGCCAGGGCACTGCTTCTGTCCTGAGGGCGGACGTTGAGCTCAACAGCACGGCTGCTGCTGTAGGAGCCCTTCAGCATGACCGCTGACACTCAGCCTGAGCAGAGTAGCCTCTGCCTGCCCGCTTTTGTTCTTCCAACTTTCCATTCGTTAACCAAACCTGTCTCCACATCTTTCTGTGCAGGACATAAGCAGATGTTCAGCCCAGCAGAGGAAAGCCAGGCATTTCTTCAGCTGACTGCTCTGTGTCGAGACCACACTTTGGTTGGCATGAAGTTGCTGGATAAGATTTCCTGTGTTCCTTGTGGGGAGCTATCCTGCAGTAAGTTCTTAGCCTTTTTAAAAAATGTTTTGAGCCTAAGCAGATCTCTAAAACGTCTTGTGGTATCATCTCTCCAAAACGTCATTTAAATATTTATTCTTGCTCTAGATACCTAGCGCTCCAGCATGGAGTGAATTTTTAGTAGAAAGCCATAAGGAAAATTTAGAAGGTATGGTAAAATAGTCTTAAATTTAACACATAAAACCTTTAGCTCTATGTGGTGGTGTATACCTGTTCCCAGCACCAAATGAGGCTGAAGCAGAGTTACAGGTTTCTGGCCAGCTTTGGCAACTTAGCAAGACTCTCAAAAATATTTTTAAAAAGAATTTGGGGGAAGGGTTCTGGGGGTGTAGTTCACTGATAGGGCACTTACCTGGCATGAATAGGCCTTGGGTTCAATTCTCAGTACTGTAAAAAATAATAACTGCACCATTTTGGGTCCTTTAGTTCCTACTTTAAACATTCTGATGAATATATCTGTGCCCATCCATGATTATTTCCCTAAGGTGAAGTCCTGAGTCAAGGGTGTGCTCATTTTAAAGGGTTCTGTACATGTATATGTATGATGTGGACACACACGTAGTCTGTCACTGTTTTGCAGTTGGATTTATGCAGACTGTTTTGCAGGTTTTCAAAAAATATTAAACTAAATTCTTTATCGTGGATTTTTTTGCTATATTGCAGGATTTTACAGTACCATACAGTATATATATGTTGTTAAAATTACGTCAGTTTACAAGTGTAGAAAATGGTTAAGAACATTAGAAGTGGTTTTGGGTTTTTTAGTGGGGCTTTTTTTTTTTTGCTACCAGGGATCAAACTCAGGACCTTGCACTTGCCAGGCAGGCACTTGTGTTGCTGAGCTATCTCCCTAAGCCTAAAAGTGTTTTTAAAACTGTGGGAAAGGTTTATAAAGCCTTAGAATATATCTAAATACTAAAATAAATATAATGTCACTACTTCGCTGATTGTCATTTATTGCAGGGGTGACAGGAATATAACCTCTGCGATGAGGGACTGTATATATGTATGTCTTAAGTTTCACTCACCCCAAGAAAGAACATGTCACCCTTCACTCTTAGGTCGTATAGCATCTCCTGAAACCCGTTTCTCTTTTCATATTTGATGGGCCTCAAAAGAGGCTCTGTGTGTGTGTTTTATGACAGGATCTCTATATAGTCCAGGTTGGCCTTGAACTCACTATGTAGCCCAAGCTGTGCTCACACTCAGGATCTTCCTGCTTTTGCCTCCCAAGTGCTGAGATTACAGGCAGTTGCCACTATGCCCAGCTTGTAATAGTTTTAAATTTGCACCAAGTTAGAAAGCCAAGCCCCTGAGATTTTTCCACTGAGGTATAAGCAAAGAAGGAGCCTGAATTCATGTTGGCAGAAACACCAGTCAGTTTCTGTCTTCACAAAGTTTCTCTGTCTTTAGAAGGTAAGGATCCCTTTTTCACATTTTCAGCCTTTGCAGATAAGGCCACTACATGACTCTCTGGAGGATAGAGTTAATCCCTGGAGTAAATATTGAGAGAAGATTCTTGAGATCACTAGAGGGAGAGCTAGTGTGGCCAGGCCCTGAAGAGAGAGTGTGCTGTCTACATAGGGTCCTTCCTGTCAGGCAGGGGTCAGTGGGTGAGCAGGCTTTATGAGTTTGTCTCACCAGTGTCCCACCCCAGCCACAGAGCTCCTGATCCTGGCTCATCACTGCTTCACCCTGACATGCCACATGGAGGGCATCATGCAAGTCCTGCAGGCCGCCCGCATGCTCACGGATAACCACTTGGCTCCCAATGAGGAATATGGGCTGGTGGTGAGTAGTCCTATCTGCCCGCACTCTGCTCTGGGGCAGCCTTAGAAACAGAGACTAGAGCCTTGCTCAGATGTAGTCTTAGGAAATTCTGCCTCTCTGGATCCATGACTTACTTGATAGTTCGTTGGCCTGCCCACCTTGCAGCAGCTCCAAGTTAGGGTTTCTATCTGAATCAGAGATAGCACCAGAAGAAGAGTCCCTGCCAAGTTCCAAAGCCATTGCATCTTTATGCCAGAGCAGTGAGCTTTTCTAGAGGACTCAGTGCTCCCCAGAACAAGGGAAATGAGTTGACAGTTCAAACCTCATTTCCTTCCCGAGTTATTTGCCACAGGGGCCATTGAGGAGCTAGGAAAGAGCGAGAGCCTGCCCAGGAGATGGCTCTGCATGATTTGGTGTTCGTGCTTAGCAAAAAGGAAATGGTCAGCCAGTGATGTCCTCAAAGACTGCCACTGTGATTCCTCCAAAGAAGTCTGCTTTTGGGAGTATAGGAGGGAACTGGGCATGCAGCCCCCATGACAGAGATGTAGTCTGGTTGAAAGAACTCCAAAGATGCTGACACTTGCCCTCCCCTCAGGTCCGGCTCCTCACTGGCATTGGAAGGTACAGTGAGATGGCGTACATATTTGATTTGTTGCATCAAAAACACTACTTTGAAGTGCTGATGAGGAAGAAGCTGGATCCGGTGGGTGTGAGCAGTTAACGGGCTAAGCTTCTCTGAGTGATAACTTTGATCAGGGTGAGGCTCTCGGGAACACAGGGAGGGCAGCAGACACTCAGGGTAAGGATTATGCTGACATCAAATACTGAAGAAAATGCCAGGCATGGTGGTGGTGCACTCCTCTAATTCCAGTACTAGCGAGGCTGGGACGAAGATTGCTGCAAGTTTGAGGCCAGCCTGGGCTATGTAGTGAATTCAAGGCCAGCCTGAACATAGCAAGATCCTATCTTAAAAAACAAACAAACAAAAAACATACTGAAGAAGTTTGTCCTCTTCCACTTCCAGCAGGTCCATCTGTTCTATATGCCACCCCAGGCAATTCCTCTTCACATAGTGTGGCCGGAGTGAGCCAACTGTGTCTGCCCAGTGGGCTACAGGCTGGAGACCCTCATAGGGCATGCTGTGTGAGAAAATGCCATTTCTAGCAGCAGCAAAATCCTGGCTGAGACCCATGCTGAAAGTAGACTGTTGAGCTCTGACACTGCCTGAGGGTTTGAGTGGAGGATTTTTAAGGGAACCAAGCCGAAGGAAGCACTCTGCTAGAGCCAGTTCAGGAAGGGAATGCACTGGCTGAACCAGAAATCTTCTGTAAGGACAACCAGCAAGGAGGTTTGGTAGTAGAACTCTGCCTTGCTCAGTTCTTTGAGTTTTTGGGAGCCTGTCCCCAGCATGCCGTGACACTAGGTGCATCGCTCATGCAGTCTTTGCACTCCCATATTTGGCTGACTTGTTACCTCTCCTTGTTTTACCTCTGCACGTTCGGCTTCTAGGAACCTAGCCCCAGCCAGACATCTCCATAATACTGGGCCAGTTTCACAGCAGACCAATCAAGCTATCAGGATAGGAGGCCCTGGGCATGGGTTCATTTTCAGGATTTTTTGGTCTTTTTGAGACATGGTCTTGCTGTGCAGTTCAAACGTGCCCTGAGCTCACTTTGTAGCCCAGGCTGGTCTCAAACTTGCAGTGACCCTTCTCCCTCAGCCTCCCAAGTGCTGGGATTACAGACATGCACCATCATGGCCAGCTTCAAGGGATTTTTTAAACTGCTATTTTTGGAGGCAGTTTTCTGTATTTAAATACTCTTTTTTAAAATATTCTTTTAATAACATTTTCTGATTGTAAAAGTAATGCATGTTAAGACACTTGGAAAACAACACAGAAAACAGTCCTTATTGTCTGAGGCATCTGAGGAAAGCCGTTACAAAGTTTGGTAAATAGGCCTTTTCTTTGCAATTTACTCAAAAGCATATATAATATATGTATACATTTTAATAAAACTTATGCCATGGAAATAGGAAATGGCTTTTTTCCCTTAGTAAATGTACCATGACCATTACCTAAATCAACAGTCTTCTACTTCAGTTTCAATGGCATAAGTCTTTATTTTGGACATTTAGGCTGTTCCAACTTAATTACTATTAATATCTTTTTTTTGGTACTGGGGATCAAACTCAGGACCTTGTGCTTGCCATGTAGGTGCTTTATGCCACTAAGCTGTCTCCCTGGCCCCATCTCTTCTGTTCGAGACAAGAGCTTACTGTATAATTCAGGCTGGCTTTAACTGATGTAACAGCCCAGGAATTCTTCCCTGGAGCACCACCACACCAATTTGTTGCACTATTTTAGTACTTTTCCCTATTTCTGTAGGGTACATTTCTAGAAATAGAATTGTTAGATAAAGTGTATCGTTAAGGCTTCTCCCTTCTGAAAGGTTTTAACTGTTCACAAAGAAGACAGGACATGCCTGTTTTCTTTCACCCAGGAAATAAACTACATTCAGTTTTAGTCATCTTTTTTCTTGGGAGTTTTTAAGGAACTTTTGAGATAGCTGATCCTATCTGTCCTGTACTCCCTGGTTAAGATCGTGGTATTCCATTTTCTCCCTGGGCAGAGTGGGACCCTGAAGACAGCCCTGTTGGATTACATCAAACGCTGCCGCCCAGGGGACAGTGAGAAGCACAACATGATTGCCCTGTGCTTTAGCATGTGCCGAGAGATCGGGGAGAACCATGAGGCAGCTGCCTGTATTCAGCTGAAGTTGATCGAGTGTCAGACCTGGGGTAAGATCACCTCAGCACCCCCAGGGCACAATGATAATGGGAAAGTTGTTTGAAGGAGGGCCTCAGCTAGGGAGGCAGGAAACGAAAAGGGTGTGTGGGAGGCCTTGACACTCTTGGGACCTGGGTCCTGTGTATCTAGGGTGCCATTCAACAGGAACCATTACATGCTAATGTGGAAGCCTTCCTCAGTGCCCAGAGCCAGAGGGGCACCAAATCCTACTCCAGAGTAAAGTTATAATAAGCATATGCAGGCTTCAGGCCCTACAGCTTTCCACCTGAGATACTACCTCCTTGTGAATTTGGCTAGGGTATTTTTCTCCTAGCCTACCATGTCGGGGTGGAAGAACAGCCCACCTGGGAGTTAGTTGACTCAGCAATGTCTTTTCTTCCTTGCAGAGGACAACCTCAAGGATGGGCAGCAGCTAAAGCAGCTGCTATTGAAGGCCCTAACCCTGATGCTGGATGCAGCTGAGAGTTATGCCAAGGTAACAACAGTGAATGGTGTGAATTCACCCTGGCCTTGATACCTGCAATAAGAATTCTTTTGTCCTAGGTTTCTCTAAGGGAAGGCAGTGTCAAGCAGAGTAAAGGGGTGAGTCCAATTGTCAAGACAGTTTGTCTCCCTCCATCCTTGTCCATCAGGATTCCTGTGTGCGACAGGCGCTGCACTGTCACCGGCTCACCAAGCTGATAACACTACAGATTCACTTTCTGAACACTGGCCACAACACAATGGTCATCAACTTAGCCCGCCATAAGCTGATGGACTGCATCATGACCCTGCCTCGGTTTTACCAGGTGAACCAGAAACAAAACTCTGGGGGCCGGGGAGGTATAGCTCAGTGGCTTCAGTGCCTGCCTGGCAAGTGCAAGGTCCTGAATTTGATCCCAGGTACCCCTCCCCATCCCCCAAAAAAGAAACAAAATTTTAACCAGCACAGCAGTATCTCTCTTGTGGCACTAATGGGACATTCTCAGGGTTAAGAGACAGAACCTCAGGCCTAGGAGCAGGACCAGCATAGGTGTCCTGACTTAGCTGTACAATGTAACCATAAAGAGGTGATTTAACTGGGTGTGGTGGCACACACTTGTAAACCCAACACTTGGGAAACTGAACCAGGAAGAAAGCCTCAAGTTCAAGGCCAGTCCAAACTATATTGCAAGACCCCGTGTCAAAAAAACTGGAAAGGCGGGGGAGTACCATATTGCTCCATAGCATGTTTTTTGGTCTTGTTTGTTTTTTGTATTTTAGGGAAGGGTCTACAGGTCGTTCAGGGTCTCACTGCTAGATTGGACTCGCAGTGATCCGCCTGTTTACAGCCTCCCAAGAGCTGGGATTACAGGTGTGTACCACCACACCCAGTCTCAATTGCTGTCTCAGTGTGTCCCGGGGGCAGGGCTGGAATGGCAGGCCAGGGATCGAACCCCCAGCTCCTGTGCATTCTTGCAGGTGCTTTGATCCACATAGCATGTTTTTTGGGCACCTTGGACAGTGTGAAGCACTACCATCTCTTTTTCTCCATCCTGTTTGGCCCGAGATGGTTGGCTTAAAAGTCCCATCCCTGCTAGTGGTTGTGCAAGAATCTCAGCCCGTATGTACACAGAGCCATGCCCCCATGAGCACCTGCTGAAACAGGTTCTAGGGCTTTGGGACTGACACCAGGGCTTCAGCACCTTCACTGTTCCCTTGTACAGTGGGCAATACGTTCTTCCTCAGCAATTCTTTTAACCCACTGTGAAGGCTACAATGAAGGTAGGTATTTGAGGGATTACATGAGGAACAGTGCCAAACCAATACCATGCTTTTCACCAGTTCTGGTAGTAAATCGAACTCAGGACCTCGCACTTGGCCGTTGAGCTGTATGCCCAGTCTGATTGAATTGTAAAAGCTGATAATGATCATATTCACTGCATGAACCTGTATAGTTATTTTGTAGAATCTGTCAGTTGTCACATGGACTCTAAATTGTGTCTCCACTTTTGCCCTTTAAAGGCATCTATTGTAGCTGAGGCATACGACTTTGTCCCAGATTGGGCTGAAATTCTGTACCAACAAGTGATAATTAAAGGAGACTTTAATTACTTGGAAGAATTTAAGCAGCAAAGGTTATTAAGACCCACTGTGTTTGAAGAGATTTCAAAAAAGTAAGTTTAAAAGTTGACTGTGATGGGTAGTGACCCATGCCTACACAGTCCTGCGTACTAGCAAACTGGTGGGCACCACGTGAGCCAAGACTAACCCGGGCAGCAGTGAGGCCCTGTCTCATGTGGAGGTGGACATGGTGGACTATGCTTTTTTGTTGAACTTTGAGGTGAAATGCTCTCCAAAGAGTCATCTGCTAAAGAACAGTTTGCGTATGGTGCCTTTCCAGAGTTTGTTTTGGGGGTGGTACTAAACTTAAGGTGAGCATTGTCATACTTATTTTTAATGAAAATAATCCCCCAGATGACAGCACCTTCTCTTCAGGCATAGGCCATTGTCAGAAATAGCAGTCCTCACTCAAAATACAGGATTCAGCCTGTGCTTTTTACATTTCTATCTAGATATAAACAACATCAGCCTACTGACATGGCCACAGAAAACCTGAAGAAGTTACTCTCCTACTGTGAAGATATCTACTTATATTACAAGTTGGCGTATGAACACAAATTTTATGAAATTGTAAATGTGCTTCTGAAGGACCCTCAAACAGGTTGCTGTCTAAAAGACATGCTTGCTGCTTAGACGATTTCAGTGGTGCCTGTGGTCTTGAAACAACAGGTTCTGACGGATGTCCATGATCAAGAGCAGAGTGCATTGGGCAGCTTGTGTCTGACTTGGGAAAGTCCAGGAAGGCACCATCTCAGTCCTTTGTGGGTGAGATAATGAAGGAGAGAATTTTCAGCAGGAAATTCCTGTTTGGAAGTGATTGCTCATCTATACTGTTTTACATGGATGCTTGGTGTTAAGATCAAAAGCTTCCTCAGGATGAAATTGCTGCATTAGGAGGTAATGCAATGATTAAAGGATACCTGTGCCTGCAGATTCCAGTTTCAAAGAAATTTAATATTATTTACACAGTTAAGGAACAGGTGATACATTTTCATTTGTTAGAAACTGATCTTTCTATAATAAAATAGATTTTAAATTCAGTGTATGTCATTATTACTGCTAAGGAAATCTTAGCCCTTATCTGCCTTAAAACAGTATTTGCTGTATAATTATTGCTGTGTAGTCAGACCTATTAATTCACCAAGTCGCATAAATGGTCCTGTTTTACATTTAGTCAACCGAGCCAAGGATCCTATTTCATATGGAAATTTTGAAATACTTTTTGCTCTGGTTGTGACAACTGGGACAAAAAAGACAAACCCTCAAATCTTATTAAATCTAGAATAAGATAAAGATCCCAGTTTATGCTTCTACTCATAACCTGAGTTGTAGGCTCTACTATGCCAAATAAATAGTTCTTCTAGTACTTAATTAGACCTTAGTATTTAAACAATTTTCCA